AGCCGCGCCCGCTCCGTGTGCCCGCCCCAGGTGCTGCCCGCCGGGAACCCCCGGAACTGCGGCTCTGGAGGCTGCTAGGGCGCCTAATTGCTTTGGAGCTGGAGGTCTGGATGGCCGTCCTGGGTTAACTGAGTTTTACTGAGAGATTTGCCTCGTCATAGCTTACAGAGTTCATTAGCGGTGCCGTTCTGTGGACCCAAAGGTGGTCACATATAAAGGCTTGCAAAATCGGGCCTTTCTTATCAAGAAAGCAAATAAATACTGGCTGTAACTGGGACTTTGCTGGCAGAAACTGCAATTGCTTACACAGGCTTCTCTGACTGCTGTATTTAAATCCAAGTTCTCAATTGCTCACAAAGTGGCATAAAATGACAATTACTTAAAAATCCAATGGGAATTTTGCCCTCCCACAGCACAGAAATACTGTGTTTTTGTTAAAATAAACACCTGTACTGGAGAGCTCTAGTGATTCAATTGCTTACTAGTAGTTCTGAGCAGTTCTAGAGATCTTAGTACTATTAATTCGATAATATTTTCTAAAAAACCCCACAAAACTATCTATTAAAATATAACAGACTAGGAAATGTTCTGTCAGCATTCACTTATCTCAGTTTCTATAAAAGCAGCATTAACCTGTGATACTACATTAAGAAATATATTTAATGTGAAAAACAATAAGGGATTACTTTGCCTAATCAGAAAAATTATTTGACTGTTACACTTGTATTATTGTGTTCATGGGAGTCACTGGGAAGCTGAGATGTCACTTGGTGTTCAGTAACTTAAGAAACAAAATGCATAAGTAATAGCTTGAAGTGAAATATGGCTATTTCCCCCTAGCTGGGAGAAAAAAAAATCTGTTTACAACTACAACATTCATGAAGTTCCCTTATATGAAAAAGTTTGTTACAATTGCAGGCCTAAGTACATAGATGCTTTATTATGTGCTTGTGTGTTTTAAACTAATACAGATGCACTATTAGTAAGAGAAATAATAAAATAAATATATTTACAATAAGAAAACTGGTGATCAGACAGACCAGTATTCTTGACAATATTTAGGTTCGTAACTTTCACTGAGTAGAGTGGAATTGATATACAAATATTTCAAGATATTATTTTCGGGTTTTGGCTCATTGACAGAATGGGGTATATATGTCTGAAACTTTATAATATATATCAATAAATATGGAAGTAATTTCCTCATTAAGACTCACGAGGAGGGATGAAAATGCAAGCTACAATCCTGTTGGAAATGGTAATCAGAGTTTAAGAAGAAAAAATAATTTTTCTGTGAAAAGTAAAGAGGGTAAGGGAGGGAATATTGTTTTGCTTATCATTGTATAGCTTCTCTTATTTCAAAAGATGTTAAAAGACCTAAAACAGCTAAAAAGCTGTAAAGAGCTAAAGAGCTATAAAGCAAGAAAATCAAGAAAACACCAAGAGAACCAGGGAGAAGATAAACTAACTCTGTAACTACTGAGTACAAGTCCCCATACTACTGCATGGGCAATCATCAATCCACCTGGAAGGGCTCTTTTCAAACACACCAGTCTCCTTAAAAAATAATAAAATCAATAATTCTGCAGCCTTAATGAAAATGTTTCTATGAAAGGGTACTGCATGCTAATTTGTTAGTGTCATATCCAGTATAAAGTAAATAGAATGCATTAGGGTACATGCACTATAAAAAGTCCACAGCTACATCTTCTTTGTAAAGTGTACTGCAACTGTTGTTAGTGTGTTCATAACAACTCTGTATTTATTACAAAGCCAATGTTCTAACTTAACCAAATGAGATAGACATAGAGGGCTGGGGGGTGGGTTTGAATCCTCCTGCAAGCCTGAAGAGACAAAGCTCTGTAACCTGCTATTCACCTGTGTCAGAGGATGAGGACATCAAGTGGCAAACGAAGGGCACATCTAACATGAAAAGAAGATGATGAGGTTTTTTTGCATGGTTTATTATAGACACTTAGGAAAGTAAGTGAAAGTTTATAATATTGAAAGCAATGGGAATTCCGTAGAGGAGACTTCATTCCAAGTATATAAAGAGGAATTCCTCTTGCTTAACAACCGAGAAAGCAATTAAGTAAATATATGTAATTTTGGAAATTAACTATTGTGCAGTCCAAGGTTTATACTGATAGCTATTCTATTTTTTAAGCACAAAACTACATGGAAAACAATAAGCCATTGAAGAGAACCCACGTTACTATGTGATTCCTTCTAATCAACTTTCCTCTCGGGTATTAAGCTAACTATTCAGCAAAACTGTGGCATTTTAGGTCAGACTTTGCTCAAGTTTCATATAACAGCATTGAGCTCTATGTTACTAGCAAGGTTATCACCATAAAACATCACTGGAGTTCAAATTCAGTGATGTGCAAAAAGGTTGCGTCTCTATTGGATAGTTTTGATGATGGATAACTGGATCAAAGAATTTTTTGTTGCTAGTGTTACCTATTTTGAAATACTGAAATCTGTTTGAGAAGTTCATTTGTATTTGGCTAAATACATGCTGGATACTAGGCTTTCTCTGAAGATAACAGTCCTAGCACCAATACTTACTCCCCTCTCTCATGTAAACTACATATATAAGACTATGCATTCCAAGATTTTTCAAGCTTTCAGCATTTTTCAAGCTTTCTGGCACTATTTTCTTGGTTAAAGATGTATTAGTGAATTAATAATAATATTTTTATCTTAGGTTTGAAGAATTCTTCCTATCAAACCGATTTGTATATGTTGGGGGGGTTTTGTCACAAAGAGAGGGGGATGTTGAGTCCTTGAAACAATCCTTACCATCTAAAAGGAAATTAAAATTATGATAAAGTCACAATGTAGGATGAGAGATTTTTCCCTATAATTAATAACTGATCTTCTCTTCAGCTTTGGCGCTGTTTCACACCTACCTGTTTTACCAACTTACTTTTAATTTACAAACTAGATTAAAGTATTCCCCTTATGCTCAGAAATTTCCTTCTACTGTATGCAGTTTTTGGTTCTTCACGTTATTTTAAATTTTTTTTATGTCACACATAAAATTCAGACTTGGAACCGTATTTATATGGAAATACTTGTTTACCTAGAGGTAAAAGGCATTTTACAGTTTTCAGTCAATGACTGTAAAAAGCCGCCTGGTGGCAGTAGCCAATCAGTCACGTAAGGTTTGCCAGTCGACTGCACAGGAACCTGCTTTGGTTTCGTATCTCTATTCTGACACAATAGGTGAAGTTCCTGCCCCATAGCTTTCTACCAAAATATGTATTCACTTTGACTTAAATATATTTTTTTTAAAAAAAAAAAGTACTTCCTTACCTATCTGAAACAAAATATTTAAGATTGGTTCCCTGATATCAATTTGAGACAGGTCTGTATAGGTGTTATGAGAAAATGACACACAACCTGTCACTTTTCTGAGAGTCTCCAATTGTGCAGTGCACAACACACCTAAATTGATAAAGGACTTCACTAAAATCATTTCACGACATTCAGGTGATGTGGGCCAGTGCTTTATCTGTTGCACACAATCAAATTTTATCTGATAAAAGTACTGCATTATTAAATTTGAATTTTCTTTATTTTCTGACCATTGCTGTGATGCTTTTTTAAATTATTGATTTTATTATATCAGCAAGATTTGATAAGTTTTTATTGTTCTGCTTTACAGGGAGCAAAGAGCTTGCTGGCAAAGGCATTGACCTGCAAGTGTTTCAGTGTAAGGCACTTTAGACCCGATTACAAAATTCGTAATGTGAAGCTAAGATTAATTGAAATCTTGTACAATGTTATCTCACACACTTGTCAGTTTCCTTGCCAGCCAAAATAAATTCCACCATTGCCCCCCATCTTTTCTCTTCTGCCCTTTCATTTCGATAAGGAATTAATTTTCCTACCCTTTTTCATCTCATCTCGAAAATCCTTTCACAGACAACCCATTTCCATTTCTTCACCTTTTCTCAGCAGCTCCTAACATGACTCCTCCATGGTTTCTAAATGCATTCTTTGTTCAGACCCAGCACATCTGTGGGTTTTGCAGCTGCTCTGGGTTCAAGCACAAGCAGTCCTGCTGGAGGGATGATGCACAGCACTGTTAGTTGTGGCAACGTTCTAGTTAGTACATGCCCAGTGCCCTGTGGAGGAAACCATGTGGTGATGGTTTGAGTCTCCATGGGAAGGGCTGCAGGGATTTTAGCTGTTACTTTACCAAGTCTCACCTAAATGTTTGCAGAGACTTTCAAAAGCTAATAAATCGGTCACACCATAACAGAGCTAGTAAAAGGCACATCCAACATTGTGAGCTGTGAGAAGAATAAGGGATAGAAGATTGTTTTGCACCAGTTTTCAAGTGCTGTAAGCAGCAATCCTTGATTGATGAGCACAGGGGAATATCAAGCAAGGTGTAAAGGGTCCCAGTCCAGACATGCTATGGAAAGCTGCCTCCTGCACAGTCAAGATAGTACATGGTCACTTTGGAATCCAGTACCTCCAGGGACATTCCAAATTTTCTCAGAAGCAAAATATCAAAGCTGTTGTATTGCATGAGACATTAATTCCTCCAGCTGAAATGGAGAGCCAGTACTTTGTGCAGAGGTAGGATACTCAAAAAATCTGGACAGCAGCAGCAGTTTGTCCCAAAATACAGCAGTAATTCCTAGGTTGTGGGTGTTCACATAGGAACCACTGCCCAGTTATGGGTAAACAACTTGTCATCAGTAATCCAAAACAAACTCATGGATAACCAAATGACCTGATGATATCAGTGAGACAAACACTAAGGACTTTCATTTTCTGGTAGCAGCATCTGGAGATGGTTCAACTGTAAATGTTGTGCTCTGATTGCTGTATAGCAAAAAAGATTTGCCAGTCTGAATTCCAGCTTTGTAGCACTCTAGTGCAAACCACTCTTATCTTCTTCCTTGTTCTTCCTGCTTATGTTTAATATCTTTTAAAGCAAATGCTTGCGGTAGTCAAACATTTGGTGAAATATTTTCCTTCTGCAATATATTGCACCATGTTAGCCTGCTCAAATTACCCTGGCTTGAATTCTGCCCGCACTGAAAGATTAAAGAGCAGAACTACAGTCCCCAGTATCAGCTTGCAGATAACTTAATGTAATTATTTATTTGATTAAAAATCAGTTGTGAAATATATAGCACAAAAAAGCAAAATCAGTTGGTTACCACTTGAACTCGAAGTCCTATCTAGGTAAGACTTAAGGATTATTTTAATGGACTAGGAAAATATTCATGGTATTCTCAGTATAGTTTGATTTTTTAGGAAGAAGCATCATAAAGGAGATGGAGTGCAAGAGACAGTCTGAAGATTTATTTTTGAGGAGGAAATAGATCTGCTTGATAAGACACTGCTACAGTTCATTTAGGAATAGATCCATTGGAGTCTTAAATCTCAGCACTTATGTGAAAAGCTATTTTATATGGTACTCTTAAAGATATTTGCATTGAATTTTACAATTTTCTATTATAAGTTAAACTCTATTAAAAATTAACTTTTTGTGGATGTTAGAGCATTGATTGTTTGAGGCCACACAGTAAAAGAATGGCCAAACTGGAACTGGAAACAAACCCAAAATGTTAATATTTGAAAGGTCAAACCAACACTGTCTTACATGAAAGGCCAGTAAGGACAAACTAAATAGGTTTGTGTTCTAGCCCCTCCATCTCCAAGAATTTCTGACTTAAATAAACATTTTCATTCCAGCCTATCATTTATTCACTGCCCATCAGGATATTGCAATATGTTTAGCCATTTAGAAGGGACTTTTTAAAAAAAGCTATAGGTGATTATGTCAATGTTCTCACTAACATTTTCACTCAATACTAGATTCTATTTTCCAAGAACATACCCAAATTTCTGCTGAGCATGTAACTGTCTAAGAAAGCTTCTATTTTCAGTCACTGCATAGCAAAGCTCTAACTCAGAAAAGACTGAAGTTTAACCAAACTGCAGAGACACAGTTTTAAAGAAAAGGAACTTTCTTGCAAGTTTGCATTTCTGGTTGAGAAATGTCCATTAGAAAACAAAAGCTAGACAGAAGACCCAACACCTCTTAAGCTTCTTATTGTTTAAACAATAACACAGTGTTAATTAATGAATTTCAGAGCATGAGTGTAGAGCATTGAGAAAAAATGTGCTCACTTTAAATTTTATAAAGTCTCTTATTTCCTGTACACAGGCCAAAGGAATCTGCTTTTAATTTTAGTTAGATATTCAGTTCCCTCTGTGCCAGCTGGCTTTTACTATTGTTATTGGGAATTCTTTTTCTGTTACTAAAAATAAAAAAATCACTGCCAACATGTAAATACTCTAAGTTTTCACACTTTACAGTGTGGGAACTTAGAGTATTTTTTACCCTTTAAAAGCACTTAGAGTACTTTTACCCTTTAAAACATAAGCAATATGACATTAGTGAGATGTGACACCCGGTGAAAAGCTCTCCAAAGTGTATTGACACCACTACTAGGAAAAGTGCTCTGCAAACACAGAACAGTTCTTGCCTCTTGTTTTGTGTTACAAAACAGGAGGCAAGAAAAGAGGACCACTAGGAAGGTGCATGTAAAAAGACTGAAGAATTCCAGTATGGGTCTATTCAAAAATGCTGCAAAATTATTTCCTGATGATTAACATTGATATGGTATGCACTCTTATTCTGAAGCAAGTATTGATCATGTTCTGCTGTGGTATATCATAATCACACACAGAGAAACTGCAAACTGAAGATAAAATGGCACTGTGAAAACCACCCCTTAGATGCCAGTATAGCAAATGCTCAGTTGGTGTTGGCTATGTTCTAGACAAAAGTGCAATCCTCAAATGTAGCACTTGTGCATTCATGTTTTTCTGGTCTGGTTTTTCCATACAGAGAAAAACTGCTCAATTTACATGTAGTAAATGAACACAGACACAATATAAGGGGTAGGCCAGCACAAGAGATGATGCCAATGGAGATAGGATTAGAGAAGTCTGCTCTGTTCCTTATTAACATCATCAAGAGACCTGCAACATTCATTATCTTTGAAACAGTGTTTCTTTTACACTGAATTGAATGCAAATTAAATTATACTGTTCCAATTATTAAGTGATTTCACAGTACCTAGGAATTTTTTTTTTGCTGTGTCATGAATCAAGGCCTTTATTTACACTGTTGACATCTGGTTTAGCTACAGCCATATATGATGTCAAAATAACTGGCTCAGGATTAGTTTCCTAACAATTTTTGTCCAAGACACTAAAAACAATTCTTTTTCATAAACCTGGGTACATTTCAAAATCTGTTTCAATGCATAGTATGAGATATATGCACACAGAGATGTGCCAGTGCAAACTTAATACGAGTAGGGTGAGTTTCTGTATGGAGTACAGAAATCAAAAGAGCCACATTTTAAAACTTAGTAACAGGAGAGAAACTGTCTTCAACAATAACCTTTTGGTTCCTATCTTGCTTTTCACAAAGTATTCAACATGCATTTTAGGATAACTATTTATGGAGAGGACTTGGCTACAAAGGCATTATTTGCTTTCCCTCTATTAGAGCTGCTCTCTGTGTAAGCACCTCATGAAATTTCTAAATGCCAGCCCATTTGTAGTGTGTGACAGGACAACAGCAAGCCTGGAGGAAAAGACTTGAGCAAGGCTTTGTGGCAGACCAGCTGCAGTCACTTCAAGGTACTGAAGATTGCAGAGGACCCTAGAAAAAAGATGGTCCAGATCTCTTTCAATTACCTCTGTTGGTTTTGTTCCTATGACTTCCATAACTGTTGAAGCTTCTTGTATTTCCCATTCCTATGTTGAATCATCTTCTTTTCTCGAACACATCCAATTCAGAGGAAACAGCCAGCACACCAGGAGAGCCAGGGTTCTGCTAGGTGCAAGTCTGTCCAGTATATGAATGCAGGCCAGCAAGCTGAGTTAAGAATAAGGGGGCTAGAAAAGACAAAGGACAATGGGAGAATTCTCATGGGCACTGAGGAAACAGCCATGTGAAATAACTCAGATTGTAAATATCACATCTGAATCATATCTGAACGAGCCTTGATGAGGCGAATCTTAAGGGAACTACACTCACAAGGGTACTTCTCCTTTTTTCCCTCATTCTGTCTAGGAATCCTAATATATGTCAAGGGCATACAACAACTTGTATTCACCTACACCAAAATGAAAATCTTTCTCAGTAATGTCAAAAAACATTAACTGTAATGAGGAACAAATAGATTTCTTGACATTTTCAGAGAGATGAACAAGTGAAAGAGAAAATAAAGGAGAAAAGCTACCAAATGATTAAAAAAACTTCAGTTTGAAATGAGTGGAAGCATTTCCATGAATATCAAGACCTTTGGACTTCCTCTAAATGCACTGTAATTGTATGAACACCCTGCAGTAAAATACACTTATAAGGGTATGCATGGGATGGCTGGCAGTCAGTGGTTAAGCCTGAATTGTTTTGCAGACTCCTTCCAGTTCCACAACATATACCACCTTTGAGAAGAAGAAAAAAAAAAGGAAAAGCAAACTCAGTATAACACAGTCCTATCTGACTGTAAATTGAGAAGCACTTTTTTTTTTAACGTATTTGTAGGCAATAAAAATAGACTGACCTTCCAAAGCTGCAAGGCTGACCTTTACACTGGGGTGCAGTTAATGACTTCGGTCGTGAGAGGCCTGGAGCAACCGTCCCAGGTGTTCTGCAATACAAAGCAATGGTAAGGGCTGCCTGGTGTCAGCAGTTCGGATGACAGTATGCTGCAAAACAAGGCGGCCGGAGTGGACGGGGGGGATGTTCTGGTGTTTGGGATTTTTTTAGAAACCATGCTACCTCTTGGTCAAAGACAAATCCACGGAGTTTGTAGTCTTGTCCACACACTATATATAGCACTTAAACTCTGGCTGACATCATGTTTTTTTCAGCAGCGCAGCCTATCAGGATGGAGCCGGCCGCCCGGAGCTGGGCGCCGGCCCTCAGGCAGCGGGGCGGGAACGCTGAGGGAACTCGGCGGAGCGGCGCTCCAGTGACGGCAAGAACGGCGGAGCCCAGAGGCATCGGCCGGGATACTCCCGGCAACCTTTAAAGCCGCCTAGCCCTCAGTAGAGTGCCCGCTAAACCGCACAGAGCTCCTGACTCAGGTGCCCGGGCCCCGCAGGGACACCTCTCGGCGCACCAGCCGAGCGTAAAGGCGCAGGTGGTGGCTGTAGAGGCTGAGGTATCACCACGCCGCGCTGTCTGCAGGGCCCAGGCTTGCGGAGATCAGCCCGCTCGCTGCCGCAACAGCGCGGGGCAAAGGGGAGCCCCTGAAATACCCTCTGGGAGAAGCCTGGGGTAACCCTAAGGGAACTCTGGGGTAACTCTGGGGTACCCCTAAGGTATCCTCGCCCTTCAAGGCGCGCTTTGCGGGGCCGCCACCGGAGGTGCGGGACCGGGAGCTAAGGGGCGGGCTCGGCTTGGCAGGGCGGGGCCGAGAGCGGAAGAACGGGGCCGGGCAGGGCCGGGCAGGGCGGGGCCCGGAACGGAGGGGCGAGATCGACGGGACGGGACCAAGGCCGGAGGGATGAGGCCGGGTGGGGCCTAGAGCGGAGGGGCGGGACCTGACGGGGAGAAAACGAGAGCGGA